GAAGTCAGCCCATGGGCTGACAGGGTCTTTTCCCATATATATATATATATATATATATATATAAACGATATCATGATGCATCCCATATGTTGATACATATGTAAACCATACATGATGCATAATATTTTGTTTTATTTATATTATACTGTTCATAGTTATGTCATTTGTTTACGAGTATGCTAGCAATATTTGGTATCAATATCGGCATGTAAACATTTACAAGTATTTGTGAATCATAGCTTAAGACATGGTATTCATCATCACATTGGAATTTCCTATGAGTAGTTTAGAATTGGGATTGCCATCACTTGCTAGAAACTTAGAGGAAGAATATGACACATACGAATGGCCAAGTGCACCATTTAAATTTTAACAAATGCGTCTTTACTAAAAAAGTAGAAATCATCCAAGTAGTTGAAATTGTTGACATACCTTCCATTCATGAATATGAAAAGAGACATGGCAATGTCCAAGTCACTAAAGAAACACACTGATTGCAACTTCCATCCTCATCACATCCTTGAAAAAGTAACAATGAGCAATAATGGATGGCTCATGAATTATTTGGGTACCATGGTAATCCTACCAATATGCTGATGACCCGTCATGACAGAATTCTATATGTATTTCAAATATGGATGTACGGGATGCCTCTCAAATTCTCAATAACCTTGAAAAGCATGATTGCTCCATCCTGAGTTCTACTTGGCAGGATAATGGCCAAGGACTACACGCAATGACTTGTATTGTTCCCATAAGAGTGCATATTCCATTGTTTATTCATTGAACACATGATTTCATTTAGAATGTGTATAGATTGATAATGGTTATTCACAAATGACCTCTGATTTTCTGGACCAAAAACTTTTTATTTTTTTTATCTGATAATTTGAACAATCATTCAAACATATTTCATAGAATCTTTCATACGAGCCCTCTTCCTATCATTTCTTGAATCACTTTGAAATGTTTTGCTTTCTCAGCTCTATATGCTGATCTTTCAAGAGTTCCAACACTTCTACCTAGTAAAAGAGATGCAGAACAGGCAAAAAATGCAGTATTGATGCTGTCTGATTGCTTCAGGTATGCTTCGGAAGTTGTTGCTCTTGGTGGTTTCTTTTTCTTTTATGTTTACTATTGTTCTCCTTTCATGGATATGGAAAATATGATATCCATGAGAGGTTGCAGATATGGGATGGCTACATCATGCTGTCGAGCTAAAACACTTGTAAAGTACTTTGGAGAAGAACTTATCAGTGGCCAGTGCTTCTTGTATGTCTTTTTTCCTGACATAAGATTTTCCTTTTTATCTTGAGATTGTCTGCTAGACCCATCTCACTAGAGCAGCTATCTTTAGTTATTTTTTCTATGTTGAGTGACTGGGTCTGCCTCTAATATATTTACTACTAGGCCAGCAAACATGTGTGCGCATTACTCTCTGATTATCATATCATTAGGGCATGTAAAGTGTTTACTGTTTGATGTTAGTCATCAATTTTCCACGATAGAGAAAGAACTTTATTAGGTGCTGGCATTATTTCTTGTGCATTACTTTATTGTGTTTCAATTAAAAACTTTAAGTTTTACAGATACATGAATCTATCGATCATTGGGTATTCTCTTCTTCACACGTTCGATGACAATATAGGCATGTGGTCCCTTACATTTGTTGCCATATTCTGATGGAAATTGATGTTGAATATTCAAAGAAGAACAGAAAATCAACAATATTTCAGGACGATGCATGCAATCACTTGGAGAATCTGAGGATTCTCCTAGACAAGTCCCTGACCAGGGATTCTAGACCAAGCTCTCTTCTTTATTTCAAGATCATGTCAATCTCCTTACAACCCTCTTCCAATTGCTATTTATAATGAAGACCATACTTACACCCCAAGAAATCTTAGCTCTAAATAAAATAGAAGCACTAGTTAAAAAAATCTATAAAGATATTTTCAACCCTGATAAAACGAATAATTCCATAGGTCTACTTTTCAAAACATCTCCTAAACATCCTAAAAAACTTAAAAAAGAAACCCTAAAATCCATAAAAACTTAAAAACCAGAAAATTAAGCCCTGAAAATCCCCTAAACAATAATCCTTGGATTTTAATAAGAAAATTTCAAACATGCGAGGCATTTTCTCATGCATCAAACTCCTCTGGTTGGAAAACCTCGTTTTCAAATTTTGAAATAGGCTAAGATGAATCCTGCACTAAAATGATATCTTCTTCAAATTAACATTATGCCTTAAATCTTGGGAACTGTGGGTTATTGGCTCAATACAGATAGAGCCATTGTGCATTTAAACATAGTCTTTGCAATCGACTGATACACTCACGAACTCTTTTGAGAACGCATCCAGGAAATGGTTTTTGTATGTCGATGGACGAGGTATGGTATGCATGCTTGGTTCAACCATAGACAAACCAAGAGAGCATCGTGATGATGAGCACTAGATTCGATGACCAAACCAACAACCTCACCTATTGATTCTCCTTGGAGTTTTTCATTTTGTTGTTCTCCACATATAATACCCACCAATCATTATTAGCAATAGGACCCTCATCAAAGATGGGATTACTATCAAAGACAAGATCACTAACTCCATTAAAAGATTCCTCATAAAAAATTGGATCACCCATGAAATCACGACGACCGTCAAGGATATGAGGAAGAGATTCCTTTTGTTTTCAAGGACTTCTTGGTAATCAAAAACCATCTCTAAGATATTTAACTAGTCAACAAATTCTCCTGGTTGAGGCTTACCGTCACAATTGGGAATATCAACCTTCATATTGAAAACCTAGAGAGATGTGCTCCACATGTAGGCCTCTTTCATTTTCCTCTTCACTTGACTCCCATGCGAAGCATGGCAACAAAAAGATTGTGGTCGGCGTCTTCTTGTGCCGAAAAATCACCGTCTAGTCCATGAGTGATGTATGTGAGTTAATATGCAAGCTGTTGAGCTTGTCTCCTGAGATCTGCAATTTTTTCATCTCTGGCATCCTGGGGAAAGATCTACGTTCCCTTCCATGTCCCCTTCTTGCTGCCATAGGTATGCCGAAATCAAAAACCCTAGGCAGAAAATCAGCAAAATCGAGGCTGAAGTTATCAAACCTTAGGCTGAGATCATTTAAAGTTCGGCTGAAATTAGCAAACCCTGACACAAATTCAGTAAAAGCGTTGCTGTTGAAGAAACATGAGCTTTGATACCAAATTGATGTAGAAAAAATGATAGAGAACATTAAATCAGCAATATTTCAAGACAACACGAGCAATCTCTTAGAGAATCCTAAGGGTTTTCCTACACAAAACCCTAACCAGGGATTCTAGAGCAAAGCTCTCTTCTTTAGTTCAAAATCACGTCCATCTCCTTATAACCTTCTTTGAATCCCTATTTATAATAAAGACTTTACTTAGGCCCCAAGATTAAAAGAAAAATAGAAGCTCTAATTAAAATAGAAGTCCTAATTAAAAGAAAAATCCGTAATGACATTAAAATAAAAAAAATTCAAAAGTATTCTAACTACTTTTCCAAACATGTCCTAAAAAACTAATAAAAGCGAAAATCCATAAAATACTTAAAAGCCAGAAAAATAAACCCCGAAAATCCCATTAAAAATACATCCTTGAATTTTAATAGGAAAAATTAAAAAATTCGAGGCGTTTGTTCTTGCATCAGAGACTCATTGTTTGATCTAGAGAGTTGTATGAAGAATCAATTGAAATTTCTTCAACCAAATTCTGCTATCATATGCATTGTTAACCTTTCTAACTTGGACAGTGCTTTTGCCTACCAACAATGCAATGTAGTAGAATAAAGAATAACATCTACATAACTGATGGTAACATTGATCACAGTGGACCAATGGTTTGAAGTTGCTTAAATGAGATATTGAAAGCATGAAGGAAACCTTGGAGATTCCTACTCGTTGTTCAACATTTAAAACTTCAGACTGCAAGGAAGGACCTAGCCCATGTTTGATGTCTTATTAAGGATGATTAAATTTCGGGGTTGGGGAAAACAAAAATGGAGATGCTTCCATGAAACTGCATTAAGAGTTAAACATGTATCTAACAAGAAAATCACATAAGGACATTTTAAATTATAGTATCTCAATTTTTTGAGTAAAAATTATTGTAGCTCACTTAATGGTCATATCGGAACAATGAAATCTTTGTCATGATCATCAAAAAGGGGATATAATTTGTTGGGTATCTAGAAAGCCAAATTTGGATGGAGCCGAGGCAAGCAGATTTGCAGGGGTCATGGTCAAGCTTAATTGGCCGCTACAATCCAAGACATTATCCCTTTTGGAGTGCCTGCTTAGCTTGCCCTTGGGATTTTCCAAATAAAGCCGCTACATATATTAATTCCTCTTACTATATAGCAATCATATCACTTACTGCTTTTTTATTTATGACATGTCATTCAAATCACAACTTTTTTATTTGCTAAAAGTTTGGCTTCCTACAGGTGTGACGTATGTGTCTCTGGACCTCCCAAATTGGAGAATCTTAAGGATGCGGCTGCCATTTTTTTGCAGGTTGCTGCAGCTCAGTATGTGAGTATGTCAGACATTTAATTCATTTGAATTAACATTGCTCTTTGTAATATTTTACTTATTAACATTGATCCTATTTCTTCTATTGTTTGTTTAACATTCTTTGGTCAACAAATACTTTAAAACTTCTTCATGGAATAAACATTATGGACGTGTATTGTAATTGCAAAAGTATGAGATGATAATGAAATTCATTAAATTCTATTCATCATCATCATAGCCTTTTCCCAATTAATTGGGGTTGGCAAATTTATTAAATTCTATTATTGACATTTATTTGCTACATGTGTTGATATACTGACTTGTCATAAATCAGTTGCTGCTCAAATTATTGTATTAAGAGACAAAATTGCCCTATGGTCGCTGAGTGTGACTGGATGGAACAAAAATGGACCCTTGAAGCATTGAGCTTAAAAGCCCTCGTGCATTCCAGCTCTATTTTCCTTTGAACTCGGTATTCAATTTAGTTAAAGTGGAAAGCATGAGAACCAACCTACTTCACCAAGTTAATGACATTTCACAATTATGCGCAAATCAAGGGTGTCCATTTTGGCATTTTCTAATGGCCATATGTATTGAAGTAGTTAAACTAGTGACATCAACTTACACCATGGGGTGCTTCATTGTAGCTGCAAATTTGTATAAATGTTACTCGTTGCAGTTCTGTTCTATTTATTTTACATCTAATAGCATCAGAATCTGTATAGGAAGAAAAGGTATGTGCATGCAATTCTTATTTGTTCCATTGGTTTAGTTTTATGCTCCTTGTTTCTCATGAATAGAATAGAATGCATTCAGCAAGTGTATCTAAATGCAATTCTGATTAGGCTGCATGCCAAGTTCTAAAAATAGTCATGGATGTTTGGACTTTTCAGGGATTAATCGAAATCACCAAATGTAGCTATTCAGATGCAATTTACAGTCAAACTGCAAGACAGAAATATTTGGAGAGGCCAAATTTCAATATGCTCATGGACAAAATATGGGAACGGGTAATTTTCCAGCTGGATGGTTGTTATCATTCCCTGTTACATATCTGCTGAGGCTTAGGTGTATACTGGGATGCTTTCTTGAAGGAAAATATTGTGCTTTAGAATATGTGATTTTTTCAAACTTATCCCTTGCTGTTTTTTCTTAGTGTTTCTCCAGTTATGTGTTTTTAATAAATGATGATTAATTGAGCAGGCCAAGGGTTTTTCTGAGAGGGGTAAATTATGGTGGCGAGGCCTTGCACGCATGTTGGAAGATAAAGGTTACATAAGGGAAGGGGATGATTTGGTATGCACATTCTGTACCGCCTAAATGATTGTAAATTATGTGATTTATATTGCTGATGTTGTAGGCCTTGGGATATTCTACACTAAGTCCATTCGAAGTCTATGGCCTGTCCTTTTGATTCGATATATTCAACCTTGGAGTTTAGGTGCAGTCCTCAATGAGTCTATCAAATCATTCTATCAGAAACTGATATATTTTATTTTTCCAATTGGAATCAATCACCGAGTCAAAATCTCTCTTCGACTACTGTGACAGTTCTCCATTAGCATGATATGAGACAGGCTTTACAATATTAGAATGTCTGAGTTCTTAGTAATGATGGGGTTTTGGTGCGTCAGGCAACTCATTTATTCAAATGTGGTCTCCTTCCAAAACTCTATCTTAAAAATAGATTTCGGACCTAAAAGTTCGAAATTTGATAATCTCGACCACCATGATTATGAATCCAAAAAAAAAATTGAACCCTAAAATTTTACTATTTTGAACTTCATTTTTGAGACATTCATTTCAATTCTTAGCATATCATTTTAAGCTTCATTTTTGGAACATGCATTTCAATTTTCCCAGATCAATAGATATGCACGATTCTTAATCTGCATAATTATGGATTTAAGGTGAAAATTCATCTTCATCAAAAAAAGAAAAAAGTGAAAATTCATCTAGATTAACTGAGGATGTGTTTTAGATCCTAAATCCGTCTCTATGATGGATTTAGCAGGGGACTGCATTTGAATTGGTCTACATTTGATCTTTTCCTTTCAATAATCCCCCTTTCCATCAATATTGCATGACACTCCCGTCCACAGCCTAGCTCTCCATGAATTGCAAAGTCCCATTGGTAGTCAAGCTAGGTTTGTCACCTAGCCTGCACATTAATATTATGATCTATCTATTTTCACTAATCAGAGGTATAACATGGATTTAGAAGGGGACTGCATTTGAATTGAACTACATTTGATCTTTTCCTTTCAATAATCCCCCTTCCGTCAATATTGCATGACACTCCCGACCACAGCCTAGCTCTCCATGAATTGCAAAGTCCCATTGGTAGTCAAGCTAGATTTGTCGCCTAGCGTGCACACGGAATTTATCAAAATGCGGTATGCTTAATATCATGATCCAACTATCTGTTTTCACTAATTGGAGGTATCATATGTGCATGTTTTTTATTTCATGTGCAGGTCCGCGTAAGTATAAAATATCCAAAACCAACAGAGCTGGGAATGAGGTTCTTAGAAGCCAAAGAAGATCTTTATGTGTACCCTGAAGCAGATATGCTTCTCTCTTTGCAAAATCCAACAACATCAACATATGCTTCAGAATGGGCTCGAGGATGGGCCAATCCAGAGATCCGGCGCCAACGTATCCAAAGCTTAAAGAGGAAGAGAGGCGGGAGGAAAAAATACCCAAGAAAGAAGAAAGTAGATTTAAAAACAGTTAGAGGAAGACTCAAAGCAAAACTAGTGAAGAAAATTTAGTAAACCAAGAAATCAGAAACTAGTTATGATATGAAGATTGGGAATGCATGATTCGGAGCAAAACGTGAAGAGTCAAGGCATAAGTCAAAGAAAATTGTCAACGGGGAAGGTAATGGATAAAAACAGTCATAAGAAGAAAATTTTGAGCTTGAAACATGAGAGGATTTTTTATGAGTCTGAACTAGGGACTA